AATCTTAACTGTGGCTCAACTTGAAAGTTGCTGCAACTCTGCGACATCTGAGCATGGATGAAGGCTCCATTGTTCAGCAGCCAGAGCTTCAGATATGGTGGAAGGGCCACATATAAATTAACACTGTGGACAAAACTGATAGGCCTCTTGCCAGATCATGAAACTCTGAAGACTGAATCACCTCAGCTGGGCTGGGTGAGAGTTCTTAAAGCCTGGTGTGGTTTTAATAGGGCCTGAGGCTTAAAGGTGGGTTGAAGCTGGAGTCAGTTCTTTAGTCTTGGAGAAATCAACCACTTTGTGCTTAGAGTAAGGGCATATACTAATAAACACTTTTCAGCAGAAAACATCTTGGGGCTGCCCTGACTGGTCTAGCTCAATTGGTTGGGCATCCTCCAACAAAGCAAAAGTTGCTGGTTCCATTTCTGGTCGGGGCATGTGCCTGGGCTGTGGGTTTTGTTCCTGGACAGAGGCAACTGACTGATGTTCTTCTTTCGCATTGACGTTTCTCTCCCTCTCTAAAATAAATATTTTTAAAAAAAGCATCTTGTGGCTGAGTCTGCCCAGAGATATCAGAGATATCAGAGGTATTACCTAGAGGTGTGTGTGATTTTGGCTGGGTCTGGATAGGGTGAAAAGTATGTCTTAGACATTGAACTTTGGCAAGAGAGGAGAATATACCTCAGCATGGTCTGTGTTTCACAGGTGGGGAGGGGAGTCTACCAGCCCTGTCTGGTATCAAGAACTGAGCATGCTGGGGATTGGGCCTTGAGAGAGTGGGATTGGGCTATCTGTTGGGGATTAACTAGTTAAGATTTGGCATGAATTGAGGGAGAAAGGTGTAGGAGAGGGAATGGTGGGATCTAGCAACTCTGTGTCTGAGTGTGTGATTCTAGGCTGAGTCATGTGTATGTGTGTGTGTGTGTGTGTGTGTGTGTGTATGTATATATGTACTATATTGCCAGAGGGTATAGGCTGTGGTGTAAATAATTTGGGCTGATTCAAGTCAAGGACACCTGAGCTCAGATCCCATCTCTGACACTTATTATCTGTGACCTTGTACAAGATTCTTAACTTCTCTGAGCCCTCAGATCCTCTCTTTTTTTTTTTTAAGCATGACCAGATGACCTGTTCATACCATGTATTTTTTTTAAGATTTTATTTATTTATCTTTAGAGGGGAAGGGAAGGAGAGAGGGAGAGAAACATCAATGTATGGTTGCCTTTCGTGCGTCCCCTGCTGGGAAATGGCCTGCAGGGAACCTGCCTGCAACCCTGGCATGTGCCCTGACTGGGAATCGAACCGCGATTGTCTGGTTCGCAGGCCCGCGCTCAATCCACTGAGCTACACCAGCCAGGGCCAGATCCTCTCTTTTCTTAACTTCCTGCTCCCTGGAAGGCTAGTGGGTTGCCAAGAAGCTTGCATCTTCTAGAAACGAGAGACCTCACTCCATACTTCCTGCGTCTTCACAGCCAAGCAGAGCAAGGGATGATAGAAACCCTGGGTTCCTTCTGATGTCAAGTCTTTCCTTCGCATCAAGGGTGGAAAGGGCTCTGAATAGAATGGGGCCCTACCCAGCCCTATAGTCATCACGTGGTTCTTTCAGGGAGGCTTTAGTGTAAAATGCATTTTGAACTTTGATTCTCCGATAATAGACAATCTTTTGTTAAGCACAACATTATATTAACAGGGATATATTATTATTGGGCCATTCTGGTAGGCTGGAAATTATAAAAACACAACAAGGAAGAGCAAGCTATCCCGGCTGCTAGTCACATGGGAGATTGTTGTCAGTGCTTCCAAAATGGCTCTGTTTGGTCTACATTTATTCTGTGTGTGTGAAATGGAACTAACAGTGTTTGTTCACTGGGCTTTTAGGAGCACTCATCTTATTAGTTCCCTGTTAAAAACCTTCAGTGGTTCCCTGATTGATACCAAATTATATTGTCTCTTCCTGGCTTTTAAGTCTCTCTACAATTTGAAGATAACATTTATAATGAATATATGAGCAATGTTTTATAGTTTTTAGATTTATCCCAGGGATACAAGCATGGTTTGGTTTTAGAAAATGTGTTAGTATTATTTACCACATAAAAAGAATAAAGGGGAAAGTCCATATGATTATCTGATTAGATTCACAAAAACATTTGATAAAATTCAACATAACTATGATTAAAAAAATATACAAGGGAATTTCCTTAATTTGATTAAGGAAGGGCATCTACAAAAATCATACAGCAAACATGTACAATGGGGAAACATTAGAAACACCTTTAAAATCAGAAGGATGACAAGAATATTCATTAGCACACATTAGCCAGTGCAGAATTTCTTTCAAAAAGAAATTAGAGCCCTAAGAATTAGAAAAGAAGGAAAACAACTCTTGCATTATATGCAAGCAATATGATTGTTTATACAGAACACCTAATAAAATCTTTTGACAAATAATTAGAAATAGAAACATTTGGTAGGTGGTTGGAGATAAGATCAGTTTGCCATAATCAGTTGCATTTTATAAACCATAATAATAAAAATATATAATTTAAAAGATAATAAAGATACCATTATTAAAAGTACCATTAAAGATACCATTATTTAAAATTATTAATAAAGATACTGATAATTAAAGATACCATTTCCATTATAAAATGGCAACAAAAACCATAAGGTACTTAGTCATATATTTGTAAGATCCTCATATAGAAAAATATAAAAGTTTGAGTCAGAGTAAAGAGGACCTAAATAAATGGAAAGGTATTCTATGTTCGTGCATAGGAAGACATAATATCAGAAAAGTGTAAGTTCCATTCAAATTGATCTATAAATTCAATGCAGTTTCTTTCCAGATCCCATCACAGTCTTTCATGGAACTTGATAAGCTGATGCGAAAATTTGTGTGAAAGAGTAGAGAGACTGAACAGTCACCTCATCTGAAGAGTAGTAATAGGCCTGGGGACTTGTTCTATTGGATAACAGGCCTTATTATGAAGTTGCAGAAATAATGTGTTACTGGTACAGAGACAGATAAACTGACCAGTGGAATAGGTTAGAGTGTCCAGGAACAGATTTCTGTATATTTGGAACTTTAGTATGTGACCTAAGGCGGCATGATAGGTAAGTAGGAACAGCAAGAAGTATTCAATAAGTGGAACTTAGACGAAAAAATAGATCCCTATTTCACATCATGACACAAAAAGCAACATAAGCTAAAATAAGGGATTAAATATAAAAGACAGTAGTATAAAATAAAATATCTTTCTGGCCTTGGAGGATGGAAGGACACTAACTATAAAACAAACTATGCTTGTGGGGTTTCTTACATGAAGTTTTTCATCTTTATTGGGTACTTCCACTTCCTGATCACAGTTTCAGTTTTGAGATTTTCTTTATCTCTTTAAACACATAGCTCTAATCATCTGCCTTTGTGCATCTCTTTATAGTTACTGTCTTGTGCTTGCCTAAGTTCTTTGCACTCGTATACACAGTCCCACAGTTCAGACGTCTGTGGCTTACATTTGCTGCACTGAAGAAAGGAAGCTGAAGGGGTTCGGCATGCACATTTGAATGTCACAAATTCCAGTGTGACATCTACGGAGATTCTCAGGTCTCTGGAACATTCTTGTAATTACAGTATTCCCTTTCTCAAGCCAGTTTGCTAAGCTAGGTAGTAGCATGGACAGAGGGAAAGGGAAAGGCAAAGGAAACTACCCTTACCGTCTTGGAGTTAGAGTTGGAGTGAATTGTGGGTCCCCAGTTCTAAAGATGTGGAGAAGGTTTTGTTTTGCTACTAGCAAAGCAAAGCTTAGCCTTGTCCTAACAGAGGTGACTCCAAGGTTCCAGACTAGACCACGGACCTGAATAGTTTCATCAGTCTGGGGAGAAAGTCCTTTTTTGCTCATTCTTTTGATTCATTCTCGCTGACTTTAGACATGTTGCTTAGGAGTAGTTGGGATCTGAGTATGTTTTTTCTTTAGTACAGAGGGCTTTGAGATTATAAATGACTCTTGCTAGTTACCACCTGCTCATTTAGCTCACATAGACAGCCTTTCTTTTCATAACAAATTACAACCCCTTATCTTTGTATGGGATATGGTTTTCCCCAAAGCACTTACCCTTGTGTCACTGTTCTCTGTACCATAGCCAATGTGATCTTTCTGAAGCATAGATGTGTTCATACACATCATGCTTCCTGCTCACTTCTCTGCTTAAAACCCTTCAAAGGCTTCTCATGGTTACAGAATGAAATCCAAACTGCTTACCTTATATGACACAGCCTGTTCAGTCTTCTAGCCTTTTCTCTTGATAATCTTCTCTAGTTTTACTGAACTTCAGTACTTTGAAACACTTGACTCTTTTTCTCCAGGTCTTTGTGCATACTGTTCCCTCTGCCAGAACACTTTCCATCTTCCTTTTTACCTGGTTAATATATGAAGTTTTCCCTCAACATACCAGCATTGGGACAGTTGCCCATCCTTTGTGCTTCTTTAACTCTTACTGAACCAATACTTACAATACAGTGGCTAAATGCTTACTTGGCTTTCTCCTCCATTGAGCTCGAAGTTTTGTGAAAGCAGAGTCTGTGCCTCACTTATTATTGTGTTTCCCTTAAATTTAAATACAGTGCCTGGTACATAGTAAGCTCCATTGGATGTTGAATGAACAAACACTATGAATTGAGTGGTATAGTGTCCTCCCACTCCTTACCGTGTTAGGGGATGGAAAGATGGCAGTTAAGGACACTGACACAGTCACAAAAGTGCTTGGTGGAAGAAGCTGAGCTAGGACCTGGCTTCTACCAGAGGAATGAATGCATTTTACATTGAAAGATCCTGTAGAAATGCCTGACCCAATGCATTACTTCCCTGCTGCGTCTGTGGTTAACAGAATAGGCTAACAGAGATGCCCCTGGTGGGTGGGAAAATGCACGGCCTTGTGGCAGTCAGGTGAATGGTTTACCAACATGTGATCCTTTTTTCCCCCTCCCACTTCCTTCCTGTTTACAGCATCAAGCTGAGCTCCCAGCCACCGATACAGGCTGGGGATGATGAGAAGAACCAGAGGACTGTCACTGTCAACCCTGCCCACATGGGGAAGGCATTCAAGGTTATGAATGAACTGAGGAGGTACTTTTCCTATTTTGCCTGTGCCCTTTTGGAAGGAACTTCCTGGGTGAGCGTCATCAAGTTCTAATAAGTCAGGATACCACCTCCTAGTGACTTCTGACTTCCCCCTGTCTGCCCCTGCCTCAGATAATCTCTTGGCTTCTTCTTTCGAAATCTGATTGAGACAGATGTCTCTCAGAAATCTCTCTTTCCTTTGTATTTAACACCTATCATTTTAGTACTTCATCACAGGGGAAAATCCTTTATGGTTACAGAAGTTCTGTTCATGAACTTGATTTTCAACTGAACCAGCTGCTTAAAGTCCAATAATAGAATGATTGTAACACCTACACACAATTGCAGATTAAAGATTGTGGATGCCATGCATTTTCTTTTGTGCTCTCTCTCTCATTCCTTGGTCTGAACTTTGCTTGTTAAGACCGCCACATAAATGGAAGAATACCTAGTTTCTCAAATGCAGCTTAACTCTATAAAGAAAGAGATGAAATGCAAATGCACTCATCCTCTCTGAGCTGAATGGTGATGGGTGTTAAGGCTATTTATAAGGCCATTGTGCATGTGCGATGAGCTTATTACAAGACAGGTTCAGGGTACTGACCATATTTTTCTATACAAAGCTTATGTACACAATTTCTTTCTTGAGAGCCCAGAACTTCTTTTGCCCATGCCATTATTTACTGCATACTTCATCCTATTATGAGCTGTAATTGTTTATCTCCTTTTTTCTCTGTAGCTCGAGTTACCTGAAGGCAGGGGCAACGTCTGAATTATTTTGATCTCTAGCACCTACTTCATAGGAATGGAGGCACTGCATAGACTCTGGGATGGATGAGTGGGGGTAAAATGTAAAAAATGTAAATAGATCAGTGAAAATTATATTCTGTAGTACAATTAGGTGTTTTATGAAGGAGGAATGCATCAGGTACCTTCCAGGTGGTAGGTGTGCAATGATTACTTGTTCCTTAAAGTGTATTATGAAAGCAAATATGTTAACTGCAACTTTGGAGAACCCTTCCTAAAGGGGATGATGCTTGAGGTAAATTTTGAAGGACAAGAAGAATAAAGAATAAAAAGTGGTTAGGAAGAAGTATTCCAGGCAGAGAAAATGGCATGAACAAATGTATGTATAGCTGAAGATATACTTGTTGAGTAGGAAGTTGAACTATTAAACAAAAGTTCTATCTGATTCTACATTAGTTTCCTAATTTCTCCTTTTTGAAGGGCCCAGTCTTTGGCATAAAAATCAAGTACAATTAAATTTATCTTGTCCCTATTGCTCAATTAAAATTTTTTTTCATTATTCAAGTATAGTTTTCTGCCTTTTACTCCCATCCCAGCCCACCCCCCCAGCCCTTCCCACCTCCCTCCTATTTCTACCCCCCCCTTGTGTTTGTCCGTGTATTTTTTATACTTGTTTCTGCAAACCCTTCCCCTTTCCTTCCCCTGAAATTCCCTCCCCTCTCCCCTCTGGTCACTGTTAGCCTGTTCTCTATTTCAGTGTCTTTGGTTATATTTTGCTTGTTTGTTTGTTTGTTGATTAGGTTCCTGTTAAAGGTGAGATCATATGGTATTTGTCTTTCACTGCCCAACTTATTTCACCTAGCATAATGCTTTCCAGTTCCATCCATGCTGTCGCAAAGGATAGGAGCTCCTTCTTTCTTTCTATTGTATAGAATTCTATTGTACAAATGTGCCATAGTTTTTTGATCCATTCATTTACTGTTGGGCACCTAGGTTGCTTCTACCTACTTCTCAATTTTTAATAAGCCTCCTGCCAGATTCCTGGAAGCTCTGTCCATATTCGTCTTAGTCAGTGGTCAGTGATGATGTTCATGCCTGTGGGTATGGTTCTCTTGTCAGTAAAAAATTTTCTTTTGAAGTTCTTTATGTAGTTCCCTTGAGTGTGGCTTGTGCACTTGGTCTGATTTAAGACTCCAAGTTTCCAAATAAACAACTTAACTTTATACCTCATAGAATTAGAAAAAGAAGAAAAATAACTAAGCCTAAACTTAGCAGAAGAAAGGAAATAATAAAGATTAAAGCAGATATAAATGAAAGAGACTAGAGAGACAATAGAAAAAATCAATAAAACCAAGAGTTGGTTTTTTTAATAAAAGGATAAAACTGACCAATGTTTAGCTAGACTAACCAAGGAAATAGAAGACTCAAAATTATAAATGAAAGAAGAGACATTACCACTGATACAAAAAAATACTAATGATCATAAGAGGCCAATGTGGATGATTATGTGCCAAGAAATTGTATAACCTAGAAGACATGGATAAATTCTTGAAACATACAACCTTCCAAAAGGTTGACTAAATAAAAAAGAAGTAGAAAATCTGAACAGACCAATAATGATTAAGGAGATTGTATCAGTAACCAAAAATCTCCCAAAAGAGAAAAGCCCATGATCAGGTGATCTCATTGGAGATTGTATCAGTAACCAAAAATCTCCCAAAAGAGAAAAGCCCATGATTAGGTGATCTCATTGGTACATTTTACCAAACATTCCAGGAAGAATAAATAATCAGTCTTTCTCAAACTTTTCCAAAAACCTGAAGAGAAGGGAACATTCCAAAACTCATTTTAATAAGGCCAGAATTATCCTGATACCAAAGCCAGATAAGGATAGTGCAAGGAAATAAAACTACAGGTCAATGTCCCTGACGAATAGTGATGCAGAAATTCTCAACAAAGTACTAGCAAACTGAATTTGACAGTAGATCACATACCATGATCAAGTGGGGTTTAACTTTGGGATGCAAGGATAGTTTAAGATATGCAAATCAATAAGTGTGATAAACCACATTAATAGAAAAATCAAATGATCTTTTTAACAGAGGCAGAAAAAGTGCTTCAATACCCTTTCATGATTAACACCACCCTACAAATTTGGTATAGAAGGAGCACACCTTAATATAATAAAAGCCAGATATGGCAAACCCACAGCTAACATCATACTCAGTGGTTGAAAGCTTTTCCTTTGAGGTCAGGAAAAGGACAGGGCTATCCACTCTCTCCGTACTGTTGAACATAGTATTGGAAGTACTAGCCAGAGCAAGGAAAGGAAATAAAAGGCATACAGATCACAAAAGCAGAAGTAAAATTATGTGTGTTTTCAGATGACATGTCCAAATACAGAAAATGCTAAAGATTCCACTAAAAAAGTATTAGAACTAATAAACAAATTTGGTAAAGTTGCAGGATACAGAATCAACATACAAAAGTCAGTTGCATTTCTATACACTAGCAAGAAACTAAGGAATAAATCAAGAAAAACAATCCCATTTACAATAGCATAAAAACAATAAAATACCTAAGAATAAATTTAACAGAGGTGAATGTGTGTACTGAAAACTATAAGACACTGATGAAAGAGATTGAGGAAGACATACATAAATGGAAAGATATTCTGTGTTTGTGGATTGGAAGAATTAGTATTGTTAAAATGTTAGTACTACCCAAAGTTAATAGAGTCAGTGTAATTCTTGTCAAAATTCTGGTGGCATTTTTCACAGAAATAGATAAATCAATCCAAAAATATGTAGAGAACCACAAAGACCTTGCATAGCCAAAGCAGTCTTGCCAAAGAAGAGCAAAGCTGGAGACATCACACATCCTGATTTTAAACTATATTACAGTGCTGTAGAAATCAGAACAATATGGCAGAGACACATAGACCCATGGAATTTGATTGAGAACCCAGAAATAAACCCATTTATATATGGTCAACTAATTTTTGGCAAAGGAGCCAAGAATTCTCGATGGGTAAAGGACAGTTTTTTTTTTTTAAAAAAATTACCTTATGTTAGGAAAACTGGACAGCCACATGAAAAAGACTAAAATTGGACCCCATTTACAAAAGTTAACTCAAAATTGATTGAAGACTTAAATGTTAAGACCTGAAATGATAAACTCCTAGGAAAAAAAAAACAGGGAAAAAGCCCCTTGTCATTGGTTTTGGCAATGACTCTTTGGATATGACACCCAAAACACAAGAAACAAAAGGAAAAATAAGCAAATGGGAGTATATAAAACTGAAAAGCTTCTGTATAGTGAAGGTCAGCAACAAAATGAGAAGGCAAATTATAGAATGGGAGAAAATACTGGCAAATCATATATTTGATTAATAATCAAAATATATAAGGAACTCATACAACTCAATAGAAACACTAAATAATCTAATTAAAAACTAGACAAAAGACCTGAATAGACCTTTTTGAAAGAAGACATCCGGATGTTCAACAGATATGTGAAATGGGCCTCAACATCACTAATTATGAGAAATGAAAATCAAAACCATGATGAGACATCACCTTATACTTGTTAGAATGGATATTATCAAAAAAACAAGAGGACATAAATGCTAGCAAGGATGTGGAGAAAGGGAACCCACATCCCTTGGGTCGGTGGGAATGTAAACTGGTACAGCCATTAATGAAAACAGTATGGAGGTTCCTCAAAAAATTAAATATGTAACTACCCTATAATCTATCAATCTACTTCTGGGTATATATCTGAAGAAAAAATGGAAGGAAATCCCACTATTTGCAACAACATGGATGAACCTTGAGGGAATTATGCTAAGTCAAATGTCAGTCAGAGAAAGACAAATACACTATGATCTCACTTGTATGTGGAATCTAAAGAAGCTGAACTCAGACAGGAAGTAGATTGGTGGTTGTCAGGGTCTTGGTGGGGTGTGGGAAATGAGGAGATGTTGGTCAGCAGTACAAACTTCTAGTAATAAGATGGATAAGTTCTGAGGATCTAATATAAAATCTGGTGATTTTAGTTATCAATACTGTATTGTATGCTTGAAAGTTGCTTAGAGGTCACAATAAGTGGTAACTATGTGAGGTATAGATGTATTAACTAACCTGACTGTGGTAATCATTTCACAATACATGTATGTCAACCATTACATTGTATATCTTAAACTTATACAGTGTTACATGTCAATTATACCTCAATAAAACTGAAAAAAAAAAAAGATT